AACGCCGTGGGAATGATCCAGGCGTCGGACTTACGATTTTGAAGTCCCTGGGACGTTATCTTCGACGAAGACCGGAGTTTACAAGGAGCTGGACGGGCGGCAAAGACCTTCAAAAGGGGTTCCAGGACACCGCTACACTTGAAGAAATTACGGGTTTCTGAAAACCAAGATGGCGCCGTACGAGAACCGGAAGTGGATCCTCATGCAGCGCTGACCTCGAACGGTATGGAGCCAGGTAAGGGGTGTCCCTTAAGTAGGGAAGGTGTGTGTCATACGCATCTCCCACAATTACAGGCCAAAAGGCCTTAATATATATATATATATATATATATATATATACACACACACACATACATACACTGCTGTGTGTGTGTGTGTTTGCGCTGCGTGAGGGTGGTGTGTGTGAAGGTGATGTTTGTGTGCTGTGTGTGTGTGTTTGTGAGGGTGCTGTGTGTGAGAGGGTGCTGTATGTATGTGTGAATGTGCTGTGTGTGTGGGTGCTGTATGTGTGTGGTATGTGTGTGTGCGCTGTAAGTGTGTGTGTGCTGTATGTGTGTGAGGGTGCTGTATGTGTGTGTGTGCTGTATGTGTGTGTGGGTGCTGTATGTATGTGTGTGCTGTATGTGTGTGCAGTATGTGTGAAGGTGCGGTATGTGTGTGCTGTATGCGTGTGCTGTGTGCTATGTGTGTGAGGGTGCTGTATGTGTGTGTGTGTGCTGTGTGAGGGTGCTGTATGTGTGTGTGTACTGTGTGAGGGTGCTGTATGTGTGTGTGTGTGTGTGCTGTATGTATGTGCTGTGTTGGTGATTGTGGGGGGTGGAGGTGGGGGTACATTACTTAATATCTCCCCTCCCTTCTTACCTTATGTAGGGAGGGGGTATTCTTGTTCCTGCTGCTTTCCCTGGTGGTCCAGTGGAGAGTGAACTCTAGCCCCTGAGGGGCTAGAGTTCACTCTCGCGAGATCTCACCGTTGCCACGGCAACACTCAGAACTCGCGAGAGGAACCCGGCGGAGCTGCTGGTTGAGCTGCCCTGGGTCCTCTCCTGCCTCCCTCCATGCGGCAGTGGGGAGGGAGGCTGAGAGCAGAGCCGGCGCTCGGATAGCGCCGGCTCTGCATGAGCCGACAGGGGAGATCCTGAGATCTCCCCTGCCGGGCTCACTCCATCGGCGTGCCGCGGGGATTAGGGTGTGCCCAGGCTCAGTGAGCAGTTCAGAGGTTTTGCTAGGATGTATTTAAACTAGACTGTGTGTTAACAAATGCTCGCAGTTTAGGGAATAAGATCCATGACCTTGTGGCAAAAATGGCAACTGATAATGTAGATTTGGTGACTGTTACTGGGACATTGTATAATGAGAAAAATGATTGGGACATAGAAATACCTGGGTACTCTTTATAGAAAAGACAGGGAAGGCAAGAAAGGGGGAGTGGTGGCCCTGTATGTGAAGGATAGCATAAAATCTAGCCTAATAAAAGTTAGTGAAGCAAACATAGAGTCCGTTTGGGTTATGTTAGAATTTGGTAATCACACAGTAACTCGTGTAGGTGTGATTTATAGGCCCCCAGGACAAATAGAAGAGTTAGATAATCTACTAGTTGAGGAAACAGCTAAAATGACAATAAAGGGGGAAGTTATCATCATGGGTGACTTTAATCTTCCTGATGTGAATTGGAAAATCAAATAGCTGCTTGTGCCAGGAGCACACATATTCTAAACTCCCTACTGGGATTGTCTCTAAAACAAGTCGTTGAGGAGCCAACTCGTAAGGAGGCCATACTAGATTTAGTGTTAACAAATGGAGATTTGGTATCAGATATTACTGTAGGTGAACGTTTAGGATCCAGTGATCATCAGTCAGTGTGGTTTATTATAAGAACAGTGACCGAGTCACACCACACAAAAACAAAAGTTTTAGATTTAAGAAAAACAGATTTTTCTAATATTAGAATATGTGTAAAGGAGTCATTATCAGACTGGAGCAATTTAAATGGAGTCCAAGAGAAATTGGATTATTTTAAAGTTGCACTGCTGAAGGCAACAGAAGATTGCATTATGCTTGTCAGTAAAAGCCAAAAATTCAAGAAACCACTGTGGTACTCCGCAGATGTGGCCAAAATAGTAAAAAAAAAAAAAAAAGTTAGCATTTAATAATGATAAAAAAAAAACCTAGAGTGAGGAAGACAGAATGATCTATAAGATTAGGCAGAAAGAGGCTAAGCAAGTTACAAGAGCTTCCAAGTCACACACAGAAGAGAAAATAGCACAGTCAGTAAACAAAAGGGGACAAAACATTTTTTTAGATACATAAATGAGAAAAGAAAAGTAAAACAAGGTTTAGTTAGATTAAAACCAAAAGAAGGACGGTATGTAGAAGAGGATAAAGGTCTAGCTGACTGCCTCAATTAATATTTTTGTTCAGTATTTAAAGATGAAAATGAAGGAAAGGGGCCTCAGTTAGGAAAAAGGACAAACGAGTCATTTGTTTCATGTGAGTTTACAGAGGAAGAAGTTCTATTTCAACTGTCAAAAGTAAAGACAAATAAGTCAATGGGACCTGATGGAATATACCCAAAGTTATTAAGTGCTTAGTGGTGTACTAGCAAAACCATTAACAGATTTATTTAACCAATCATTGTTAACAGGAGTAGTCCCAGACGATTGGAAGTTAGCGAATGTTGTGCCCATTCACAAGAAAGGTAGTATGGAGGAGTCGGGCAACTATAGGCCAGTAAGCCTCACTTCAGTAGTGGGGAAAGTAATGGAAACCATGTTAAAGGATAGGATTATTGAACATCTAAAATCACATGGATTTCAAGATCAGAGACAAAATGGGTTTACTTCAGGGAGATCATGCCAAACTAATCTTATAGATTTTTTTGATTGGGTAACTAAAATAATAGATCAGGGTGGTGCAGTAGACATTGCTTACCTAGATTTCAGAATGGCTTTTGACACTGTTGCACATAGAAGGCTTATCAATGAGCTCTAATCTTTTAGTTTTGGATTCCAATATTGTTGAATGGGTAAGGCAGTGGCTGAGTGACAGGCAACAGAGGGTTGTAGTCAATGGAGTATATTCAAAGCATGGGCTTGTCACCAGTGGGGTACCTCAGGGATCTGTACTTGGACCCATTCTCTTTAATGGTTTTATTAGTAATATTGCAGAAGGCCTTGATGGTACTAAGATATGTAACAGGGTTGATGTTCCAGGAGGGATAAGCCAAACGGCAAATGATTTAGGTAATCTAGAAAAATGGTCAGAGTTGTGGCAACTGACATTTAATGTGGATCAGTGCAAGATAATGCATTTTGGACGTAAAAACCCAAGGGCAGAGTACCGAATATTTGATAGAGTCCTAACCTCAACATATGAGGAAAGGGATTTAGGGGTGATTATTTCTGATGACTTAAAGGTAGGCAGACAATGTAATAGAGCAGCAGGAAATGCTAACAGAATGCTTGGTTGCATAAGGAGAGGTATTAGCAGTAGAAAGAGGGAAGTGCTCATGCCATTGTACAGAACACTGGTGAGACCTCACTTGGAGTATTGTACGCAGTACTGGAAACTGTATCTTCAGAAGGATATTGATACTTTAGAGAGAGTTCAGAGAAGGGCTACCAAACTGGTTCATGGATTGCAGGATAAAACGTACAAGGAAAGGTTAAAGGAACTTCTTAACATGTATAGTTTGGAGGAAAGACGAGACGGGGGAGTATGATAGAAACATTTAAATACATAAAGGGAATCAACACAGTAAAGGAGGAGACTATATTTAAAAGAAGAAAAACTACAACAACAAGAGGACATAGTCTTAAAGGTTTAAAAATATCAGGAAGTATTACTTTACTGAGAGGATAGTGGATGCATGGAATAGCCTTCCAGCTGAAGTGGTAGAGGTTAACACAGTAAAGGAGTTTAAGCATGCGTGGGATAGGCATAAGGCTATCCTAACTATAAGATAAGGCCAGGGGCTAATTAAAGTTTTTAGAAAATCGGACAGACTAGATGGGCCGAATTGTTCTTATCTGCTGTCACATTTTATGTTTCCATGTTTCTATGTTAACTTGTCCTCCCTCAAATATTTGTATGAGGAAGGAGGGAACAATTTCTGAATAATATAAATAATACAATTGTTAAATTAAGAATATTTCATATGTATCTGTTAAAGTCTTGCTTGAAGGAATATTTTATTTTTTATTTTTAGCAATAACATTATGGTAACCAAAGTCACCATAACCCAATGCAACTTTAGTATAAAAAACTCATTGAACAAATGTTTCTTTTGAACTGCTACAAATACACCTCAAGACTTCAGAATTTCCTTTACAACTGGAAGGCTACTCAATGTATCCACTACTCTTTCGGAAAGTAATGTTTTGTTTTGATTTGCAATATTACTCATCAAGCGTTTATTTGCTAATCTTTTAATTGCTGAAAATGTAAATTCAAATGGCAAAATATAGGCAGCAATAGCTGAATCATTCTGAGAATAACTTTGCTGTTTAATTCAAAAACATTACCACTAGGGTTTCAGTTCACTACAATTCAGAGTTTAGTGACTCAGTTTCCCTCTGTTTAATATCTCCAATAATTGCTCTAAAAGTCCTCACTTTGTTAACCCCTGAAGGACACATGACATGTGTGACATGTCATGATTCCCTTTTATTCCAGAAGTTTGGTCCTTAAAGGGTTAAACATCTCAATCTTTTAAAGTATTTGAAGATTCTGGTTGTGTTCGCCTCTCATTTCCATCTTTTGTGCAGTTAGGTTGTCCCTGATTCGTACCATGTCTAAATACTGCTGCTGCCTGGTTTGTTTTGATTGTCTTCTCCCATTCTGAACCAGATCGGTCTCTGCTAAACATATCTTGCTTCACACTCCACAACCTGTCAAAATAGCTTCTCCCCAGCTACCCCCTCCAGACCATAAGCTGTTGGGGATATTTATAGTAATGACTTGTGTCCACTCAGCTGTCCCTATCACACTGGAGATATTAGCAAGGGGGAGGGAGGAATCATGAACAGTAAAGGGAATCCTAACTTAGTCTGTTTTTTGCTGCTCTTTCTGCTTCGCAGGACCCACGAGCTGTGGCTCTCCCATAGGATCCTCAAAACTGGGATAATAAACTGCTGTCGACACAGGACTTGGACCTTAAATAGAGGTAGAGTGATGGGTTTTACTATTACCTCTTGTAAATAAAAAAAACTATAATGTGGAATTGGTACAGGGGACAGAAGCTTGGATGCAGTGATGAGAACACATGATTGAAAATTTCTGTTAAAGAAAGGCAGCTGGCTAGCAATACAATGGATTCCTATGACTGAAGAGATACTATATAAATATATATAAAACAGGGTGGTGGTGGTGGTGGAGGGGTGGAGGGTTAATCTCATAAGAGCAGACATTAGGCTGTTAGTGTAGGACCTGCCAAAGATGGGGTACATTGACGTTGTGGCAGGCTTATGCAATGTATGATCATATAATGTAACTAAACCCCCATTATTTTTGCCTAGATTAGGTGTTTTTAAAAAAATGAATAAAATCTGTCAACACTGAAGTTGCTGTTTAGTGGATAGGTGAGTGCGCTGGATCTTGTGTATTATCTATATATATAATATTATACACACACAATATCTTATATCAGTGGTCATGGAGAGGGTCATATGTAGATTAAGGAATCATTAAGGTAAATAACTGCACAGCACAGTGTTCATTTTTTTCTCCCTCGCTCTAGCAAATGTTTCCTGAATAAGTTATCTGCTCAGAGAGGCCACACTTTCACTGTGTCTGAATGCCTTCTAGAATCTTACCAACTATCCATTTCAAGTTCAAACCCCCATGGGTAACTTAGTCCCTCCTATCCTCTGGTTTCTTATGAATTGTATGAAACTCACTTTATTTACTATTATTGTCACTTCATTTAATTATCATTGTTTAATGTACTCGTGAAGTCTCTGCACAGCTTGATGGAAAAAGTTGAGGTTCTAGAAATGCAAATAATCAATCAATTACTTATTGACGACATATTGATATTAAGGGCTGACTCTTATTACAGGAGAAAAAATCTAAATCTGGTAACTAAGTGACTTGTATTGACTTCTATGGGACAAACGTTGCACAAATACTACTAATATAATTCTATCATCAATATCTAAATTTATAGGAAATGCTTAATAAAAATGTCCCAAATATCTTAATACTAATGTGCTCAATTACTTAGAATAGTAATAGCTGCTTCCATCTCCCAAACAGTCTTGTGGAAGTGTCCATGTTTATGGTGGGACACTGTAGGCCTCATGTGTTGGTTTGTATTGACATTTTTATGTTAAGTTGTTCCATTTCTTGCTTGAGCAATGCAATGTGTTGCACATTCCATATTCATTTAAAATGCTCATATTGATGGGTGCACTCTACTTGTTTTGCTTGTTTGTTGCCTGTTTTATTCCTGCAGTTAATATTTATGGTCAGCTAATGACTAAGTGTAGCATATATTAGCAGGTCTGCAGGCAAATGGATTGTAGATATTGAGGGCCATGGACTTGGTTAATCAGCAGATGGATAATATCTTTTAAATACACCACAAGAAAGGTTTGTGACCATTAATTAGTAGGGCTGGTATTCTACTAAATTTGGGACCTATAGAGCAAAACAGGGTGTTAAAAAATTTTACTTTTTTTTTTTTTTATATATCTAGGCCCCCGACTGCCACACAAAGGGACTCAGCTGACCATTACATGGGTCACAGAAAATATCAATATGTTTAATATTGATGATACAAATCTTCTTTAACGTGAATGACATACTATCATTTATTATTTATATACACACACAGATATATATACATATATATATATATATATATACATATATATATATATATATATATATGTGTGTGTGCATGCATTTTCCTTCTCCTGATTGTTGTGCTGCATTGCGAGAGCTCTTCTCTGCCTATATATAGACAGGAGAATCAGGATACTCAGTAGTTATTACCTGACTCATGGCTTATCATGGCTAGACTATATTGGTAAAACTGATGGCTTCATTCACCTATTTCATTCCAGTACAACTCAATATGTAATCCGTTATTTATAGTGTGGAAGATGGTTTTAATGCTTCTTACTCACTGCAACAATGGAATGTCTAAGCATTGTTCTCACTATCCATCACATTGACCGATATCTGTTTTTTCCAGTTGCAGCAAAACTTTAAAGGTTAATTTTGAGGAACACCAGCTGCTGGCCTTCTGTTCTTGTATGTTTTGCTGTGAAACACAGAAGCTGTCAGATTATTTAACTGCCATTTGCTAATTATAATCAGTGTTTGTTAATAGGTGAAACATTTTTATGCCATGTCCAGATTTTGGTGCTAAAACAGTATTTTTTGTATCGCCAAGTACTGATTAAGTTGCACATTCGCAAATTATCGTTCACTAGATTTTATGAAAGTGAATTATAATGTTAACTACCCAGGAGCCACCAGGCAAATAGTTAAAAGACCCTCGGCAGTATGCCATGTGGTGACTGGTGAGCAACTGATAGCCAACCACCACATTAAAAAAGTTAAATAAAAAGCCTGCGGGGTCAGTAAGACCCCAATATGTACTATAAGGGAAACCTCTCTATGCCCCTATCTGCCATGGAGTGGAATATCTACTAAATGTTCGTAACATATTCCCCCCCATACACCCCCCTATGAGCATCGGTTGAAGACCTATTCATCCTCCTGCCCTCACTTGTGGCCATCAGGTTGGAGATTATTTCATAAAAGGACAACCCCATGTTTTTTTTATTTTTTTTATTTAGAGGCCTCAACCTATGTTAATAAGTTACTTTTCCAGACATAGATATCATTATTATTATTGCCATTTATATAGCGCCAACAGATGTAGCGCTTTACAATATTATGAGGGGGGAATTTAACTATAAATAGGAGAATTACAGGAAAGATAGGTTGAAGAGGACCCTGCTCAAATGAGCTTACAGTCTATAGGAGGTGTGGTGTAAAACACATTAGGACAGGAAATAGCAATCAAATAAGGTGGGAGTGAAGCAGAGCTGGAGGAGAGAGTAGAGTGCTGCCCTTTAGGAGAGAGCAAGGGACAGGTATGCCATACAATTTCCTAAAGAGATGGGTTTTAAGGCACCTTTTCAAAACGAAGATGTTCCAAAGTACAAATAAAGTGTCAGTATAGCAAAAAAAAAGTATGGAAGTAGCACTGAGAATGTGGGGGATATTATGTGTATTGGATGGGGCAAATGCAATGTGCGCCCAGTTTCAACTCTCCTGTTCAGAGCATCTCCTTTGCTGGCCTTCAGCTTGTTATCTGTGTGACATTTGTCTGTGTCTCATCAAAGTCAGTAGTGAAAAAACAAGATAAGCATTTTAGAACTTCGGGGAATTATGAATTTGCCACATGTTGAGAGCCAAATGCCCCTGGCGTGTCATAAATTTAAGCTACTAAGGTTAGTAGTAGCTGAAACTTAGGTTAGGAGGAGCCATAACAGACCCTACAAATTGTGAAGAGTAAGGTAAATAAGCAGAAAATCATGGCCTTTCATCATTGTGAAACTAATGGAAAATCAAACCTTTATTGTGTCCTCAACATTTTCACTTTAAACTTTCATTTGCATATGGAAACACATCGGATTACAGCTAGTGAACACATTTGATATTTTTCAAATACATCATTGAGACTCTATTGTGAATAGAACAAAATAAGAAATTAAGAAATTAAAATGAATTTTATATTTTGAATGCTTGTTTCACCCATAAAAAGCTAATACTATGTATGTTGTATAAAAACCATAACTACAAACTGTTGTGAAAAGTAAGTAAAAAAAACAAAAAAAAACCAACAAACAAAAAACACAAACAGCATTAGTATTACACTTGGCAATGCCTTTACCTGGCTTCCTGGTAAAAACCTCAGAGCATCTACGCGAACGTATATAACCATGTCGGGGATCTCAGGGTATCCTCTAAAGATGCTCAAGAAGAACAATTCCATATATAAAATGTAAAAGCCCTGTAAGAGCATTCTGTTTTCCTTCCTTATATTTTAACAATTATATTGTAAATCAGTCAGTGATTATTTACGTCAGTTTCACTTTAAGTAGATGCATTCCTGGAAGGAGGTGTATAGCAGGGTCAAGTGCACCCATGGTTACTACCCCTTCAGTAAGATATTTGATACACAGTTGGTATTTAGGATGACATGGTGGGTGAGTGATATTTGTAGACTAGATCAATTCATATATATGATGTATCCTCCTGCATTCCGTATTGTCTGCATTGCATGCCCGAGACTGTATGCAGTCATAATTAAAATAGATATGGTATACTTGGTCTGTACATGTGTGTTCTTAGAAATGATAATGGAATTCTGCAAATTGCCCTCCAAATGTTTTTTTAATTGAAATTGATAGAATGCTGATCTTACTCTTTCTTTTTTTTCTTTAGTTTGTTAAAAAATCATCCATTAATTATAAAATTATTAGAAAAGCATGTTTAGATGATTAAGAACTTATATATATATATATATATATACATATCTACATACCAAGAGAGTTGTGGTTAGGAAGAAAATGTGGATGAAGACACCTTCCACCTGAAGTAAGTAGATAGTTAAAACATTGCTAAACACAAATATACACACCAGTCAAACCACTGGCGTATATACTGGAGTGTATATATGTATGTATGAGTGTCGTGTCTGTGTCGGTCTGTATATATATGTGTCTGTATGTATGTGTGTGTGTGTGCCTGTTGGAGGGGGGGGAGGGGAGGAAAGGGGGGTCCATGGATCAGTTTCGCACAGGGGCCCTATGGATTGTGTGTATGCCACTGAGTCAAACTATAAGACTTGCTTTTCCCACAGAAATATCACTTTAACAGTGCTCTCAATACTGCAAGGGATTCTGGGTAGGCATATGCAAATTAGCTCAGCAAAGAACCACATTTTTGCCTCAATTCCACTTTATACATGGATTCCTTGGAGTATGTGTTTGCTGTATACAGCAGCTTTGAAACACAACTCAGAAAGAGGAGCAAAGCCCGTGAACCACTCAGGGACAGCTGTTTTGTTGTTAATGCAACTCATTAGCATGAGGTTGGTTACTGGCTTGCTATTGAGGCTTGGTGTTACTTGTAAAGTATATACCAGCGAGTTGTGGTGGGGAAAAAAGTGTGGTTGAAAACACAAATGCACACACCAGTCAAGCCATAAGACTTGCTTTTCCCACAGAAATCTCACTTTAACAGTGCTCTCACTACTGCAAGGGGAGCTCATTTGCTTCCCTTGCAATAGTGAGAGCACTGTTAAAGTGAGATTTCTGTGGGAAAAGCAAGTCTTATAGTTTGACTGGTGTGTGTATTTGTGTTTAGCAATGTATTAACTATTCCCATATCTATATATTTATATTTATTTTATAAACATTGAGGCCAAAATGTGATCCTACAAAAATGGTGAAGTAGAATACTGTCCGAATAATCTACTTTCACAATTTGCTCATTGATTTACCATAATTCCGCTGTTAGAAATATAACCTGTGGACTACCATGGAAGTACTTTGTAAGTATGTGTGTGTGTGTGTATCTTATGGGAACATAATGACATTGAGACGTTCTGGAGATATTATAAACCTCAAAAATAATGTATAATGTCACCAGTGAAGGCGTTATTCTATTTTTAATATTATTTTAACATTTTGTCTTGCAGCAGCAGGAGTCCACGTGTGATTTGTATATATAAAAATCATAAAAATAGTAATTAAAAAATTGTGTTTTTTTTAAACACTTTGCTGCTGCTTTTTGTTTCATTGCCTATGTCCTGTACAGAAGTGGGTCACAGCATGGATGTATCTATTATGAGGCAAACAAGGCATTTGCCCTGGGCGGCAATTTCCAGGGGGTAGCAAAAATGCCATCCCCAAATGCCCAGGCAAATACCTTGCCTTGTTTTATGGGAGCCCAAGAGCTGGCTGGCTGGTCACCTTTGGGCTCCCCTGGGGAAACAGGCGATTATTTCCCGGGTGGGCGGTGAGGGAGCACTTTCCCCTGAGCTCTCTCTGCTCAGCTCCCGTGCGATCTGCAGTGATACTGGGAGCTGGAATATGACGTCAGTCCAGCTCCCAGCCTTACTCTGCATCGAGTGAGGGAGCTGAGCAGAAAGCTCCCTCGATTAAAACATAGAGCACTCGCCTGCACGTCCGGCCGCCTTCCTGTCAGTGAATGTGTGTGTCAGTGAATGTGAGTGTGTGTTTCTGAGTGACTTTGCATGTCTGTCAGTAAGTGTATGCGTCTGTCAGTGTGTGTCTAAATGATTGTATGTATGTCAGATTGTATCAAATCAGTGAGTGTATGTGTGTGTATGTCAGTGTATCTGAGAGTGTGTGCTGGTCCATGAGTGTGTGTCTGTCAGTCAAAATGTGTGTAAGTTAACAGGAAGAGGTGTGGCTTTGGCAGGAAGGGGTGGGTACATTTAAATTGAGATGCCCGTGATCTGTCATGCCTGGGGCAGCACCATTTCAAAATACACCACTGGGTCACAGGACAGTTACCTGCTGTAAATGGAATGTTCTATAAGTGTGACCATGTCTATAATTCTGGGATGTGTGGGAAATGCTATGGTTATAACTTTACAACTTGCTTAATTAGCTACATTTGAAAAATAAAAGGTTTGCAAGGATTATTAATTATTGACAAGAATGGAAAAAAACTGTATTATTTTTGCCTTGTTGTGTAACTACAGGGACATACTCTTGCTTCCTTCTTCCTGATGATATCTTTTTGTACAATTCTGTCTTATTAAAGTATTAAATTCAATTTTATCATTTCACTACACTTTCCATCTACCTATCCTGCATACACTTATTCCCGTTTAGGGTTATAAATATAAGCCTAAATGGGTGATTATTGTCACCTTCCTGGCATATAAATGGGGGGACAATGGAAAGGAAAAAATATATTTTAAAGCACAAGTCTCTTTGACACCTACAGAGTGTGACTGTAAAATAAAAATGATGCAACAAAAAAACTGCAATAATCATTCATTTAGCATGTAAGCCAACACATAATCATTGCCAGAACTAAAATGTATGTTTACACATGTGTGCACCTGTTAAATCTACCAGCTTTTCTGATTGACATGGACCGCAGTGTAAAAAAACAGCTGTTTGTACATAGAGGCAGTGTTCCTTTATTTGAAGCAATGTAACATATGTCTGTGAGGAACAGAAATTCTAGGGTTAACAAATGGACATGTGACGTACCAACAAATTAGTAAAGCTTCCGATTTATCCTGCATTAGCAGAAATTGCATTCTCCCCATCCAGTATGTTGTCATTACCAAGATAATATTCTTTATTTCCATTAAGAGATTTATTGATGATATTTATTTTACTGACAATAACAATCCATCTTTTGGAAACTGTTATTCATTGCTTCAAGGACAATTAACTCCTTAAACAACGATTATATTGTGTGATTTATAGGAACCCAGTTGGGTACATTAGAATACCAAATAGCAGCATGAAATAGCCTGCTAATTTCTATCCTGCATCTAAATGAGATTGGAATGATATCTATCTGGGATAAAAACCATCAATAGCAGCATTGTATTTAGAAAGAAGGGTCTTACTAATATATATGAGTTTTGTACTTAGGGTATTGAGGGGGGGTGGTGGAGGGATATTTTTTTTTTTTTTGGTCATAATTCTATTGTTACGTCATGAATCATTTTGCACTATACAAAAGAGGAATCCTGTTTTCGTAGCAGCTGAAAAAAATATCTTCACAGCATAAAGAGTGAATAACAGTTGCTTGTTTTGGTATGTGGGAAATCAAGCCTGCTTGCTACAATAAAAAAAAGGAAAATCTACTTGGAAAAATACAGAAAATTAGTTGGCTCTTCCCATTTTGTTTTATTTTATTTATTTTTTTTAAGAATTTTTGGAATATGTTATATTGTAAAATGTGAATGGCATAATCAGTTTAGCTTAAAGATACAATGTTTTATTCTCATCTTGCTGCAAGTAGTTAGATCACTGAAAAAAATGTGTTTTAGTGACCTGGCATCAGCATATGTTAGCAGTCTCTGGAAATAGTTCAAAGATTGTAGTTTCAATTATACTACGAAGAAAATGAGAATTTAAACTTCGCTTTGGTAATCAGGGCAGGGGTTCTGGTATTGCAAAATGTATTGGTGCCTGTTTTTTTTTTTTTTTGTATAAATAATATCTTAAAAATATACAAATATTTAGGAAATATATAAATATTCAGGAAATATATAAAGATGCTACAAGCTCTGGTAACATTGAAAATACTGAAAATTCATATGTTTCCTTACCTTATCCCGCTCTTTTATACTTATTAATAAAACCTAGATGTCTTCCACAAGCTGGAACAAGGTGCTGATCAGTCATTTCCCTTCCAAGTAAATAGGTGACACATAGTTCTGGGAGTACAATTAATTTTAATGAGCCAAACGTGGCCTTTTATGTACATACCTCAGCAGGGGGTCTCAAAACAATACAATACAAGCCCCTCCCAGGAATCTCTGTGCCTGGGAGATAATTGAGTTAAAGACTGGTAAGCTAATTATCTCCCAGGAACAGAGAGCTAAACACATAAAAACATAAAAGTACCCCAATACATCATAAAAACATATAATAATCCCACAAGTTATACATCCCCAAGTAGCCCTGATAAGAGCCGCCAAGTTGTCCAAATAATGCTCAGATCCATGCTGTGTAGGGGAAAAGGCACCATGTCAAAGTTCTGACCGGCCGCACACGGGGTCCTATGCCCAAAATAGTTCCGGGGTGTATGGTGCTTTGGCTGGTCAACTTTCAGGAGCTCCTGCATCTGAAATACGGGTTTCTCAGGAGCTCCTGTATCTGAAATTTGTTCACTTTGGTCTCAGACACCTTCCCTCCAAAAAGTGTTCTTCTGGCGCGTTGCAAAAGTGGTTTAAAACCTCGGACAAAAGGTGCTTGGAAACCACACTGTCACCTCATGCCAAAAACAGTTCCATAACATTTGCGGCTAAGTACTGCTGAGGTGACCGGGGACCCATGAAGTCCACATGCTGAAATTAGTTCCATAGCGGTCACAGCAAAGTACAGAGGAGGACCATTCATGGGTTTGAAAAGCTGGTAGATTTTGGTTCAACGGCTGCCAGGGAGCTAGCATTCGATCGAATGAAAGGAAACTGCTGAACCAGGGGCACCCAGGGAAAACTGTTAATGGTGGCTGGGCAAGGTAATTCCCGAATGGTGTCTCAGACCTGGACCATAGTGTGTTGGCAAGAGGCCAGCTTCCACAGTCCTCCAGGAGTTTGTGGCAGGCGTTTGTGGGAAGGAGCATTTGTCACAGTATAATCCTGCTGAAAGAGGTCATTTCCATTGGGGTACACCTTTGCCATAAAGGGTTAGCATAGTCTGCAACAATCTCTAGGTAAGTGGTAAGTGTCAAAGTAACATCCACTAGAATGACAATATCCAAGATTTCCCAGCAGAACATTGCCCAGAGCATAATAATGCTCCAGCCAGCCTTCTTCCCCTGGTGCATCCTGCTGCCATTTCTTCTATCCACCAGATCTAAAAGAAAATGTGATTAATCAATCTTCTTTCTTTACTTCATGTTCCAGTTCTGAAATTGCAATGTCCCCATTGGAGGTGCTTTTGTGCACTCTGATCCATCTGCAGCTACGCAGCCCAAAATATAGCAAACTGAGACACATTTGTATCATGGCCAACATTAGGTTTTTCAACAATTTGACCTACCATAGCTCGAGTTCTTCTGTTTGATGGGCCAATATGGGCTAGCATTCGCTGCCCACATGCATCAATAAGCCTTGGGTGGCCATGAACCTGCCGCCAGTTCACCAGTTATCCTTCCTTGCACCACATTTGGTACGTACTAACCATTGCATAGCGGGAACACACCACAAGACTTTCTATTTTGGAGATGACCCAGTCATCTAGCCATTACTATTTGGCCCTTATCAAAATTACTCAGATTGTTTCACTTTCCCATTTTTCCTGCTACTAGCATATGAAATTCAAGAACTGACTGTTAACCTGCTACCCATTGACAGATGCCATAGTAACAATATAATTAATGCTATTCACTTCACCTGTCAGTAATTTAAAAATTGTGGCTGATCAGTGTATCAATGCCAATAATTATAATACTCTTAAGTTGGACTACGAATGCTTGTGCTTAGATGATGCCCAAAAGCATTTGGTTTCATCAGAGGGCAAATCACAGTACCGTGCATTGCTTATATTTTAACATTTCAAAGGTACTTATTTACAAATACTGATTTCTAAAAAATTATAATACAATTTAAAGATAGATTATTGTGTATTGGTTATTCACGGATATGCTCTTACAATTATTATTTATATAAAACTGAGGGACATTAGGATAGAAAAGACTAACAGAAGAATTTGGAATTAGACACAAAATAGTGACTCTGTTTAATTGTTTGGATAAGCTTTTCAAATCAGTTAATATTTTTTAATACATTTTTAAATTCGTTCTTTTTTCTAAATAATAAAATATCAAATATACTGTACCAAGTATTTTCTTATTATACCATCTGTTTTGTTAATAAATCAGGCCACATAAATCATTGTGCGAATCAGTGTTGTGGGAACTCTAAACATTACTTGAATTTTGTCAAACTAGTTGATACAGAACTTCTATACAGAATGTTATTGTACACATTTAAAAATAGTTTATGGGAAAAAAAAGAAACTTCTATAATTCTAAACTGTTCTGAAGAGCGAGTCTAGTGAGTAAGTATTATTGGAAAAGTCTCAGCTTAATAGAAGTAGCATTTGGAATTCCTCTGGGTTCTGTCCTGACTCTACATCACTGTAATCTGTTTATGAATGTTGTTGCGAGGATCATTGAATGTCACTGTTTACAGCTGATACTTGTTGTGCAGAGAATTTACACTAGGCGCACTGTACATATGGTTCCTTAGCAGTTTTCTATTGACACACACAACTAATCAGCACTTACCAGTGAGGAGTACTAGATTAGGAACATGCTCGCAGGCATAGTATCTCACAGCCACTTCAACTTAACAAAAGGGGATGAGAAACATGTTAGAAAAAAAAGCACCCTGGCATGAATTAAACATTGAGGAATCAGAGTTGGTTAATTAAAGGTGGGGGTCTAGTTGAGACTGCGATAACAAGATGGTTAAACCAGCTATGTGGACATAGTCTTTAAAGTTAACCCTTACAACATTGAGATAGTTAAGGTCAAACAGTGTACAATTGGGGTTGAATAAATATGGGCATCTGGCAAGCAAGTGGCAAAAAAAAATCTAAAACTATGTATTTTGGGAAAGAAATTAGCATTCAACTTAAATTCTGAACATTGAAAAATGCAAAATGTGAGCCGGTGGTTTCAAAGGCCAAAATGCATCATCATGCTTAAAATGGAATATTAATTTATGACATGAAAATTGTAATTTTGCTTTTTATAAGATTTATGATGAGACCACATTGTGAACATAAGTTGCAATTTTGGAGAAACCGGTTTGATGAGAAGTACATTATCAAATCAGGAAATGTACAGTGGTAGACTACTAAATAATTAAAATAATGATGGTTGAAAGACTAGAAACTTTTGTGCTAGTTTTATCAAATATAATAGATTATTTTTAAAGCTGTCTCTGTTTTTGTGTCAATTTTCTGATAAAACTGGGGATATGGGGAGGTAATAGGTAATTCTGACATTATCAATAATAGATAGCCATGCTCTCTCCTGGTGCATCTTTCAGCTCATCTAGCGCTCTCTTAGTGTTTCTTTCTTTGGCTCTGTCTCTTCCTCCCAACCTCTCTCTGTTGGTGTCCCCCAAGGTTCAGTCCTTTGTCCCCTACTGTTCTCAAAGTATACTGCCTCCCTTGGTAAACTCATCAGTTCCTTTGGCTTCCAATATCACTTCTATGTGGATGACACGCAAATCTATCTGTCCACCCCTGATCTCTCCCCGCCCCTCTTGACTAGTGTCTCTGATTGCCTCTCTGCTATTTTTAACTGGATGGCTGCCCACTTCCTTAAACTCAACTTGTCCAAAACAGAACTTCTAGTCTTTCCTCCCTCAAGTGTTGCTACTCCCATCTCTGTCTCCCTCCACGTTAATGGTGCTACCATCAGCTCCACCATGCAGGCTCGCTGCCTAAGTGTTCTCTTTGACTCCAACCTCTCCTTCACCCTCATGTCCAGTCGATCGCCAAATTCCATCTCAAAAACATTGCTCGTATCTGCCCCTACTTAACGCCAAATGCGGCTAAGCTGCTGGTCCATGCTACTGTCCTCTCTCACCTTGACTACTGCAATTGGCTTCTCAGTGGTCTTACATGCTTCCAACTTACCTCATTGTAGTCTATAATAAATGCGGTGGAAAGGCTCATCTTCCTGTCTGCCCGCTCCTCCCATATCTTACCCATCTGTCAGTCCCTGCTTTGGCTTTCCGTAAGATATAGGGCTCAATATAAAATTCTGGTTCTTTCTTTCAAATCTCTACATAATGCTGCTCCCACCTATCTATCCTCCCTTATACACAAGTAGGTCCCATTTAGGCCTTTACACTCTGCTGAAGACTTACGTCTATCTTCTGTCCGTACTCCCACCTCTGATGCTCGCCTTCAAGACTTCTCGAGAGCTGCACCGTTCCTGTGGAACTCACTTCCCTCCTCCGTTAGATGCTCACTCAGTCTCCACTCCTTCAAAAAAAATCATTAAAAACTCACTTTTTCACAAAAGCATATCAATTAAACTGTTAATGACTCAAAAAAAAAAACCTACACTAAGTCTTCATTGAATACTATTCTACCAATCTACTTCTCTAATACTTCCCTTACCTTTTGTGTCACTTTACCCTACTCCCTCTAGCATGTAAGCTCATTGAGCAGGGCCCTCAACCCCTCTGTTTCTGTGCGTCAAACTTGTCTGGATACAATTACATGTTTGTTAGTCCATCCGTTGTAAAGCGCTATGGAATTTGTTGGTGCTATATAAATATAATAATAATAATAAGAGGAAAATCGGATTTTGGAGTCAGGAAGGATTGTCCTCCTTTTAGTGTACACGTGGAAAATGATTATTATTATACATAGGGTTTATAAATAAAAGGTAACATTACTATTTAATCAGGTTACAAAGAGTGGGATCACGAGGAGCTAGGATCTAAGATGCTTCAGAGTCAATAAACACCACACCATCAATGTCACTCAACAAGAACTCGTACTCCAAAAATTAATCATCCCTAAGCCCAGAACTTCATGGGGATTAATCCTAATTGTAAAACCCCCAACACTAAATCATATTCCTAATCCAAAACAAAAGGCATTAAGTGAAGTAAAATATTGTAACACACAATATTACTAAATATTAGTTAAATCACATAATAATGGACCAAAAATAGTTTATAAAATTAGTGGTGCTAAAGTAAAGCATGCAATCTGATGGGCACCACACATTTAATGCCATTGTATATTGTTATAGTGAGTATAGTTATATATAAAGATATATTTACATACAGAGATAAAAATTTACTGCTTTTTCAACTCTGATTTTTAAATGTAATGCCTTTTTGGTTGCGTGTTTGCTCAAAGTACCACCTTCTCACCTAAATCCAGTTCCTTACAGGTAATGCTCCCAAGTACTGGGTCGTCTGGGTATGATCTGAATGAAAGCTGAAACTACTTGTTTCAGTTGCACCTGTCTTTTTATCTCAACGTTGTTACGTAAAGCATAGTGTTGTATTTTGGTATACAGGTATACTGAGCAATGCTATATGGTGGTCGAATCCAGGAGGTAATGTAACCTCCACACAATTCAAAATAGGGTACTGTGGAAAAGTGACACAAGGCACCATATTTCTTGCCATTAGGCACAACGTTTCGGCCTAGGTGGCATTAACCATGTACATAGAACACAGGTAACGCAATGCTTTTTTAAGATAAAGTAAGCTATTACCCCACATATTAACTATTTATATCCTTGAATATTCTACTTTTCTAAAAAAGAAAAGCATCCAGACAATGTTTAACCACATTAACAGAATCTGATAAAACAAGCTCTTTACACTAAATATTACATACCTTTATTGTTCTTGTTCTTTCCTCTACTGTATGTGTTTTTATTAAAGTTTAAATAGGTGCTTTGGACAGGCTTATTAATGATGGTTACCATAGAGCTGTTTGTACTGGCCCTCTATATATTTGTTAAATGTTATCAAATCCTATCTTTTTAGATCTGAAAAATTGCAATGTGTAAAAAGAGATTAAATATATTTTGTCCAGTGAAATAATACCCCTTTTTATGCATAACAATACCTTGCTGGTCTCAGCAACTGCTACCTAAGATTTCATATTGTTTAGTCTATTGTTCTATAAATATTCCCAATATATAAGTGTATAACACAGAGTCTGTAAGCTACACACATTGATTGAGAGCATCATTGTATTAGTGGATTAGATTCAGATAAAGGATTCTCTGTAATTAAAAACTCTGTATGGGTAATACTTGATGTTTTAAAGTACTGAAATGGTCTAATTTATATCTGTAATTAGAAAAAGGTTTGGGAGGGAAACAGGTGTACATGGTATTACTGTACACCGCACTGTGCTCATTTTCATAGCGTGGGTGGACATTTTCTTCTGTGGACAGGAGGTGCTGGTTTAGGAGAATGACCTGAACCTCTGTGGAAGCCAACAGTGAAGTTGAAATTCTAAATATAGAAAATGCATTATGTGTAAAACTGGTAGCATTTCAGTAATGTTTTACCGAGGTTGAGCACTTGGCATTACTTATTGTAAGGGGAGGAGGTGGAGTGTCATGTTGAACTATCAAAGACGTTGCCAAGATCTTAAAGATCACTTGATGTGTCATTACAGTGTTGTCACGTACATTGAATTAATGAAGCTGAAACGAAGGACTATTTTAGCAAGTCAAATCACGTCTGTCCCTGCTAGGAATGAGCTATTTACTTGGTTCGCATGTGTAACACACAATAGCTTTGGAGAACCAACAATCCATCCCAGAAATTTTTTGCTCATACAAACAAAAGAGAAAAAAACGATACCTCATGATAATGATTTTGTAATATAAATACATTTTATTTCCTACAATGAATCTAGACTGAATGTTTTGTCAGGGGTCTGTTTATTTAAGGGTTGATGTGCACATTGGAAGTCAGCTTTGGATATAAACTTGGCATTGTTTACTTTTGCTCCTATTTCTTTTAGTAATTATTATTTTATTATTATTATTATTACTGGTATTTATATGGTGCCAGCATATTCCATAGTGCTTTACAATATTATCAAAGGGGGAGATTTAACAATAAATGAGACAATTACAAAAACTTACAGGAACAATAGGTTGAAGAGGATCCTGCTCAAACGAGCATACAATCTATAGGAGGTGGGGCGTAAAACACAACAGGGCAGGAGGTAGCAATCAAACAAGGTGGAGTGAAGCAGAGCTGGAAGAGAGAATAGAGTGCTGCCCTTTAGGAGAGCGCAAGGGACAGGTATGTGAGGTAGAAGTTACTCTGGGAGGCCATACGCATTCCTAAAGAGATGGGTTTTGAGGCACTTTTTAAATGATTGAAGACTAGGGCAGAGCTTGGTCGTAGGCCAGCTATTCCAAAGGAAAGGAACCAGGAGAAGGTCATGGGCAGAGCGGAGGGACCAAGAAGGGGATCAGTGAAGAAATATAGGAGGGGCTAGAATTGGTCAGTGCTTTATAGGTGTGGATTAGTATAGGATGCAGGAAGCCAATGTAAGGACTGACAGAGGGGAGAGGTATGAGAGGAGCGACAGGAGAGGAAAATCAGTCTAGCTGCAGCATTCATTACAGATTGTAGTGGGTGGGGCGGATGCGGGCTATGTTTTTAAGGTGGAATCTACAGGATTTGGTACAGACTGGATGTGAGGCTCAAATGTGAGGCCAGAATAAAGTATAACACCAAGACAGCATGCTTGCAAGGATGGATTGATGTGAGTAGCACTAACTTGAAGGGAGAGTGAAGGAGGAGGATCAGCATTAGGAGGAGGAAAGACAAGGAGTTCAGTTTTAGAGAGATTGTGTTTCAAAAAGCAGGAGGCCATCAGTAGCCTGGTAAAAAGTCTGATGGGTAGGAAAGGCATTATCCAAGTGTGGTTGAGAAATAGAGGGGCAAGGTGGTGAGAATTCTTTCCTTAGCTGTTCAGTCTTGTCTGTAAAGGAGCATGCAAAGCTATCGGCTGTAAGGTTAGTTTGGGGGATGGCAACAGCAGGGCAAAGAAGGGAGTTAAAGGTATTAAAAAGATGCCTGGGATTGTGGGAGCATGAGCTAATGAGGGAGGAAAAGTATGACTGTTTGGCAAGGGCTGTATGAACGCAACATGAATTTGTAGTGGAGGAAGTCCGACTGGGTGCGTGACTTCTTCCAGCAGCATTCAGCAGAACAGAAGCATCTCTCCAGATTGCGTGTTGATTTAGTGTGCCACGGTTATTTTCCCCCTCTCTTCAAGGTGCATGCTTGGAATGGGGCTACAGAATCCAGGGCAGAGGTAAGGGTAGTGTTATATGAGGAGGTAGCCAGTGAGGGACAGGAGAAAGTAGGGATGGATAGAAGTTGGGAATCAATATTAACTGATAGCTGCTGGTGGTCAATATAATTCATATTTCTTCTTAGTTTAGGAGGGGTCAGGTTGAGGATGATGGGATAAGGGGCTATAAAGAGCAAATTATGAGGTGGTGATCTGAGAGAGGAAATGGAGTGTTGCAGAGATTAGAGATTGTACATTGTTGAGGGGGAAAATAAGATCAAGGGTATTGCCAGCTACATGGGTGGGGGACTTAGCCCACTGCGATAGCCCAAGGGAGGAGGTCATTGAGAGTAGTTTTGAAGCTACTGAGGACAAGGGCAGGTTAATGGGAATGTTGAAGTCCCCAAGAATTAGGGATGGAATATTAGAGGAGATGAGGTAGAGAAGCCAAGCAGCAAAGTGGTCAAGGAAGAGGAGAGGGGAACCAGTGGGACAATAGATAACAGCTGTGACGAAGTGCCCTTCGCCACTTGTGCCTGGAGAGGACTGCTTGCCCGCCTCTTGCCCTGTGACTATGGCCCCTGGGATGTATTGCCCTTTAAAGACATGATTTGGGCATAATGCATTTGTGTTGTGCTGCTGCTGGCCCTTTAAGAACCATCTGGGGACATACTGTGGAGTTACTGGGTGGCCACCATTTCCTGTATCAGAAGCACATGGTGAGAACAATGGATGGTGGCCATTTTAACTCTCAGATACTGTTTGGACTTTTCAACACGGTGCCATCTTGCCAGTATTTGGTGCACAGAGACATCGTGCAGTGGTTTTGGACTATACAGCAGGGGACACATTATAAAGTGATTGTTTTTCATTTAGCCTGTATATATTCTGCAGAATCTGCATTAAACTCTATTTTCCAAAGTACTGAACGGATCTGGGTGAATTTTGGATATGTGGTTCACCCAGATCCCCCGGTTCCAAGGATATACTTTTTATGGGGTTATTGCATGTTTTGGGGTCCCTGTGTGTTTTATGAAACTGTATTATTTCTGACCAGCAGATAATTGAGTTTTGTGTATTGTAGAAACTCAATTATCTAGCCTGGCCCAGAGGAGGAGTTTTGTGTTGCATAAATTGTGAGTTCTGTGTGCCAGTAAATCAGTCTTGTTCCAGCATTAAGCCTTGGCTCATGTTTGGGGGAAGGGATACCTACACTCTGGGGATTGCTATAATCACTTACTCCCAGAGGAAGCTCTTGCAATAGCTTGATTTGTTCCTGTTCCTGCTCTCTGGGGAAAGAGAGGTTCACCCACTGGAAGCTGGATCCTGGCCTTGGGTCCAGGGTGGGTGGAAACAGCAGAGACCCCGGCGCAGTTGCATCGCTGGAAGTGGGGTCTGCAGTGCTGATGGTGTCAGTTGGAGTGCTTGGAGTCCACAGCGAGCACTAGGAGCATCTATTGGCGGAGGTACTCAGTCGGAGTGCCAGCGTTCCGTCACAACAGCAATGTTAGAGATGGGTTTGAACAGGTGAATTGAATGAATTTCAAATGATGAGAAAGAGAGGGAAGGGGGTGGGTAGAGGTTTGAAGGAGCAGTGAGGTGAAAGCAGAAACCCTACCACCTTTGCTTTCAGAGTGTCTTGGGTTGTGGGAAAATTGAAGACCACCAAAGGATAGAGAGGCAGGGGTAGCAATGTCAAATGGAGAGAGCCATGTTTCAGTTAAGGCTAGTAAATCTAGGGAACGAGAGATTAAAAGGTTGTGCACAGCAGTCTATTTAGTAACATTGCAAACAGAGCTGGCATTCCAGAGGGCAGAATGGAAGGAGGATTTAAAGGAAGAGTAGCATGAGATGGGTATAAGATTATTGTGATTCCTGGCATTAGCACATGGTGGGTTAGCGGAGGTGGGACCGGGATTTGGAGAGACCTCACCAGCTGCTAGGAGCAGAAGGGTAGAAAGTAAGAGAAGGTGGGAGTAGTATTTAAATGTTTTGTGAGAGGGTTTGTATTTAGAGGTTTTAGAAAGGGTTGGTGGAGATAGGCTGGAAAGGTATAAGTAGAGTGCATGGCATGAAAAGAGAGGGGAGGGAAGTAAAGGGGGAGCAATGAAAATGGTGTCAGCAGGGACAGGTGAGCAGAGGAATAAAGAGATTTAGCTAATTAGAGAGGTGAGAGTGAAAGTAAAGAATACAGGGAGTGCAGAATTATTAGACAAATGAGTATTTTGACCACATCATCCTCTTTATGCATGTTGTCTTACTCCAAGCTGTATAGGCTCGAAAGCCTACTACCAATTAAGCATATTAGGTGATGTGCATCTCTGTAATGAGAAGGGGTGTGGTCTAATGACATCAACACCCTATATCAGGTGTGCATAATTATTAGGCAACTTCCTTTCCTTTGGCAAAATGGGTCAAAAGAAGGACTTGACAGGCTCAGAAAAGTCAAAAATAGTGAGATATCTTGCAGAGGGATGCAGCACTCTTAAAATTGCAAAACTTCTGAAGCGTGATCATCGAACAATCAAGCGTTTCATTCAAAATAGTCAACAGGGTTGCAAGAAGCGTGTGGAAAAACCAAGGCGCAAAATAACTGCCCATGAACTGAGAAAAGTCAAGCATGCAGCTGCCACGATGCCACTTGCCACCAGTTTGGCCATATTTCAGAGCTGCAACATCACTGGAGTGCCCTAAAGCACAAGGTGTGCAATACTCAGAGACATGGCCAAGGTAAGAAAGGCTGAAAGACGACCACCACTGAACAAGACTCACAAGCTGAAACGTCAAGACTGGGCCAAGAAATATCTCAAGACTGATTTTTCTAAGGCTTTATGGATTGATGAAATGAGAGTGAGTCTTGATGGGCCAGATGGATGGGCCCGTGGCTGCATTGGTAAAGGGCAGAGAGCTCCAGTCCGACTCAGACGCCAGCAAGGTGGAGGTGGAGTACTGGTTTGGGCTGGTATCATCAAAGATGAGCTTGTAGGGCCTTTTCGGGTTGAGGATGGAGTCAAGCTCAACTCCCAGTCCTACTGCCAGTTCCTGGAAGACACCTTCTTCAAGCAGTGGTACAGGAAGAAGTCTGCATCCTTCAAGAAAAACATGATTTTCATGCAGGACAATGCTCCATCACAAGCGTCCAAGTACTCCACAGCATGGCTGGCAAGAAAGGGTATAAAAGAAGAAAATCTAATGACATGGCCTCCTTGTTCACCTGATCTGAACCCCATTGAGAACCTGTGGTCCATCATCAAATGTGAGATTTACAAGGAGGGAAAACAGTACACCTCTCTGAACAGTGTCTGGGAGGCTGTGGTTGCTGCTGCACGCAATGTTGATGGTGAACAAATCAAAACACTGACAGAATCCATGGATGGCAGGCTTTTGAGTGTCCTTGCAAAGAAAGGTGGCTATATTGGTCACTGATTTGTTTTTGTTTTGTTTTTGAATGTCAGAAATGTATATTTGTGAATGTTGAGATGTTATATTGGTTTCACTGGTAATAATAAATAATTGAAATGGGTATATATTTGTTTTTTGTTAAGTTGCCTAATAATTATGCACAGTAATAGTCACCTGCACACACAGATATCCCCCTAACATAGCTATAACTAAAAACAAACTAAAAACTACTTCCAAAAATATTCAGCTTTGATATTAATTAGTTTTTTGGGTTCATTGAGAACATGGTTGTTGTTCAATAATAAAATTAATCCTCAAAAATACAACTTGCCTAATAATTCTGCACTCCCTGTATAAGGGAGAGCATTCTCTAATGAGACTAAAGGAGTTTATATTATAAAGAAGGAAAATTAGGATTTTTAGTTTTGCAGAATTAGAGGAGATGGGATATTAAAGTCACATGAGAGATTAAAGGGGTCAGGGGTTGCAGGTAGAGAGTGTGATAGTTGAGCAGGTGATAAGGGTTTGAGAGACATAATTAGTGTGTTTGGAAAGTCAGGTAATTTATGCTATCTATAAATGTAGTGAGTTCCTTGGGGTGGGCGGGAAGCCACCCAAAAGAGCAACCTCTGCTTAAGGCTGTAGCTTGTCTTGGTAGCTGTGAGTTCTGGGAGATAATATTCTGTTTGGGACCCAGGCTCTGCTTAAGGCTGTAGCTTGTCTTGGTAGCTGTGAGTTCTGGGAGCTAAAGTTCTGTTTGGGACCCAGGTTCTGCTTAAGGCTGTAGCTTGTCTTGGTAGCTGCTTGTCTTGGTAGCTGTGAGTTCTGGGAGCTAATGTTCTGTTTGGGACCCAGGCTCTGCTTAAGGCTGTAGCTTGTCTTGGTAGCTGTGAGTCCTGCGAGCTAATGTTCTGTTTGGGACCCAGGCTGCAAGAACGGATCTGAGTTAGATTAAACAGAAAATTAAGGGTTGGGAAGACACAGATATTGAGGTGAGAAATGGAAGTTAATAAGAAAAGAATATTAAGAACAGAGGAGAAAGTATTTGTGATTTAAATATATAAGGGTAGGTCATAAATAAATGGTTAACATAAATTTACATGACTATTAGCACAATAACTCTAAAGTAACAAAAATAGGGCTAGGTCATAAATGGTGGACATTAATTGACAAGACTATCAGCACAATACTAACCAAATAAACAATTATCAAAACAAGGGTTGAGTATGAAGGGTACAAAGTTAACAATTAAGAAGTAATATTGTAGGGGAGAGAAGTAAAAAAGAGAAACTAAGAAATAGAAGAATAAAATAAAATAAGTGCTGCAGGTATGCTTACCATCCAAAAGAGCTACCTCTGCTTAAGGCTGTAGCTTGTCTTGGTAGCTGTGAGTTCAGGTGTCACAGGTGCTGCTCCAGAGACCGGGACCCCTGTATGCTGCTTGATGGTAGGAGTCACAGCGTGGAAATGGACTATCAGGGCCCGGTGCTGGATAATATGCAGACCTCCCAGGATCTGGATAGGGATGCTCTGCAGCAGAAATGTATCCAGTACTAGAAACAAGGCAAGACTAGAATAGGCACCAAACAAGATAACAAGACAAGACTAGAAGAACCCAGAACTGGAGAAGGACAGAAAGCAGAACCCAGAACATGTACACAATACATGATGGAAATGTAGACAGGACAGGACTGTACATGAACTCAAGGCCATCTATAATATGAATAGGATCCTGGGCAACGAATTTTGTTGGGCCCCTGGGGCCCTGCAGCCCTCCCAATCCACCCTTGCCCCCAATTACGCCCAACCCCCAATCACACTGACATGCTGACACATACACACACAGACAGACATATTAAAACATTCACAGATATATACTAACACACACATAAACTGACACACAAATATATACTGGCAGACATATTGACACACATTCAGACATACTGACACACACATACATACACACACAGACGCATACACTGACAAACATACTGACACACACAGACGCATACACTGAGAGAAGTATTGACACACACAGACATGCTGACACACACAGGCACACACAGGCATACTGATATACACACACTGACACACAGACAGACATACTGACAGACACACAGACAGACATACTGACACACACACAAACATACTGACAAACACACAGACATACTGACACACACACAGACATAATGACACACACACACAGACAGATATTTGACACACACACAGAGACAGATATTTGACACACACACAGAGACAGTGTGTATACACACACTGACACACAGACAGACATACTGACAGACACACAGACAGACATACTGACACACACACAAACATACTGACAAACACACAGACATACTGACACACACACAGACATAATGACACACACACACAGACAGATATTTGACACACACACAGAGACAGATATTTGACACACACACAGAGACAGTGTGTATACACACACTGACACACAGACAGACATACTGACAGACACACAGACAGACATACTGACACACACACAGGCATACTGACATACACACAGACAGACATACTGACATACACACAGACATACTGACACACACACAGACACACATACACTGACAGACATACTGACATACACACAGACATACTGACACACACACAGACACACACACAGACACACATACACTGACAGACTATTGACACACACACAGGCATACTGACATAACACACAGACAGACACACTGACACACACACTCACAGACATACTGACACACACAGGCATACTGACATAACACACAGACAGATATACTGTCTGACACACTCACAGACATACTGACACACACAGACATACTGACATACATTTAGCCACCCTCCAACCACCCTTACCTTTTCTGGAGAGTGGTTTCTCTGGGGTCCAGTGGCAGGCTGAGGCAGTTGGGAGTTCTACTCTGAAACTCCCCTCCTCCCTGCTTTCCTCCTCCCGCGCGGCTCTGATCTCCGGTAGGAGGAAGTGACGCGCGACTCTCACTTCCTCCCAGCTGGCTGCCAAACAGGAAGGGGCCCGGTGGCGCTGTTTAAGCGTCACAGCGCCCGACCGGGCCCCAGCTGACAAATGCCCACCGGGTGGCCCTTAGTGCATGGGCCACCCGGGGGACAGAGCCGCACCGCCGGATCCAAGGGGGGCTGCGCAAATCGCGGGGCCCGCAGGGCAGCTGCTCTGGGGCCCCCCAGGAGCAGCTGGGCCCGGGGCAGCTGCCCCGTTTGCCCCGCGCTAAAGACGGCCCTGCATGAACTGGGAATACAAGAGAAAACAGGACAAGAGATACAAGGCAAAACAAGAGGAGACATAACTAAGCACCATATATGTAACAGACATTAGAGATTTAGACATACATAAAGGGCCGAGATGTATGCAGCCCACCACTGCGCCAAAGTACTCAAATTATGGTGGGTACTAACTGCCTAGACATGCATGACTAAATAAACAACAACAAAACACACACAGTACTTTCCTGCAAAGAAAGATGCAGTGGAAATGAGACCACTGCTTGTAGGAACAGACTGAAACAAAAAGGACTAATGGCAAAGGAACGGGTGTGGCAACAAATAACAAACATTTAAAAGAATCCAGGAGACTGGGAATTCCAGGAACGGAATAAAGGAATGAACCCGGAAAACCCAGCATAAAGAAAACCAGACATAGAATAGAAAACCAGAAAAAAGAAAGAAAAACTAAACAAGAATAGTAAAAAGAGTACTGGATATCAGAAGCCAAGAGAGAAATGTGATGTGACACTTGGTAGTTAATGTTCTGCTTGGGACCCAGGCTCTGCTTAAGGCTGTAGCTGGTTTTGGTAGCTGTAAGTCCTGGGAGCTAATGTTCTGTTTGGGACCCAGACTCTGCTTAAAGCTGTAGCTTGTTTTGGTAACTGTGAGTCCTGGGAGCTAATGTTGTTTGGGACCCAGACTCTGCTTAAAGCTGTAGCTTGTTTTGGTAGCTGTGAGTCCTGGGAGCTAATGTTCTGTTTGGGACCCAGACTCTGCTTAAAGCTGTAGCTTGTTTTGGTAGCTGTGAGTCCTGGGAGCTAATGTTCTGTTTGGGACCCAGACACTGCTTAAAGCTGTAGCTTGTTTTGGTAGCTGTGAGTCCTGGGAGCTAATGTTCTGTTTGGGACCCAGGCTCTGCTTAAGGCTGTAGCTTGTTTTGGTAGCTGTTAGTTCTGGGAGCTAATGTTCTGTTTGGGACCCAGGCTCTGCTTACGGCTGTAGCTTGTTTTGGTAGCTGTTAGTTCTGGGAGCTAATGTTCTGTTTGGGACCCAGGCTCTGCTTAAGGCTGTAGCTTGTTTTGGTAGCTGTGAGTCCTGGGAGCTAATGTTCCGTTTGGGACCCAGGCTGCAAGAAAGTTAAAGGATGCTTTGCAAACTAAAATGGTTAAACATATAGGCCATAAAGTTATTATTGTGAGATTTTCTGATAATGAAAACGACATTAATCTAATGATTCAATATTATGCTATACCAATGATTTAATCAAAGTTGCATTCTGGTCAATGTCGTAGAATAAATATGCCATCAATGTTATGTGGGTAGTTAATCCAGCTCTTTAATTGTATGTTTAGGCATTTTCTACTGAAACTGCCACTGCACAGAACATTTTTAGATAAAGCCAAAGGATAAAGATGTCATGGTTTCAGTAACAAAGAATGACATTATGTATATTTAAAAATGTATGAATGTGACGTAAATACATAGCTTTTTCCTTCATAATCTCTGGATTACCATCATGGTGGAGAGATTCAATTTCGCCAAAATATTTATATCTGCCTACAGACAGATATGAAATACAGGATTCACACAGCTTCTATGTGATTGTTTTTGGATTGTGCCATGACACTGGTTGAAGTTATGAAAGTTCTATCAGGAAATGTGAGACCTAGGTTGGACATCCTTGGTATTGAATGACCTTACAGTGAGATAATGCTCTGAATTCCTGACATGAAGAAACATCACCTCATGCTGTAATTCATGCATGCTGTAAAGCAGGGGTCCTCGAACTCCCGCCCCCAGATGTTGCTGAACTACAACTCCCATGATCCTCTGGCTATCTATGTAATTCAAAGAATCATGGGAGTTGTAGTTCAGCAACATCTAGGGGGCCAAAATTTGAGGACCCCTGCTGTAAAGCAAGAACAAAAACCAGTTTGATCTTCTATTAATTAACCCCATAAAAACTCAAGACATTGAGGCATTGATTTAATAAGCTTTGCAAACAGATTTGAATCATTTGGAAAGCTAATTAAATCGAGGCCCAAATTGTTTATGTCAGATGAGATTAAATAATACAATTTACAGTACATTCTCAGTTTATCCAATGATCAGTTTATCCACAGACCATGTACAAAAATTAAATTTAATGCAACATGAACATTGAAGCTCAGTTGAGCAACGATCACAAATTTATAATTGGCAGACATATTTATAGTCAAGATTTGTCCTTTAGTCCTTGGCATTTTATTTTACATATCTTTATACAAAGGATGAGGCTTAGGTGTTAATGAGAGCGGTGCAGTCATTTTAATGAAAAATGTATATTTAGATGAACCTCAAGACACGCATCTATATTTTTTTTACACAATAATGTGATAGGTTGATTGTTTTGGTACCCACCTATATGTTACCTAGTTATTTATGACTTGAAAAAGAAACTTTGGTGTGGAAACATTGTTTTTGATAACTGAATAAAACTACCATTGGATCATGTATTGTCAAGCGCTGGGGTGTTTCTCCTTCTTTTTTTTTTTTTTTACGATTTTCTAGTCCTTTTCTAGAATGTAATAATAGATACAAGCTCAAAAAAGTGAGTTTGTATCTATTATTAAATTCTATATCTATTTAAGGACAGTACTTCTAATCAGGGATTTCCCCCCTGTTATTTAGTCCTTATTACAGGGATGGCTTTTAAAGTATTTTTTAATTTTACAAGAGTTTTAATAAAAGTTAAGTGTTGTATGTGGGTTACTTCGCCATGGTAAAGGCTTTTATCTGCATCTCCCTTTCCTCGTTCAAGTGTTGATTATTAGTATTACTATCAGGGGTTACCCCCAATTTTCCAAGAAGTAACCTGGCACGCTCTCCCTTATATGTCTTTGCTTAAAGTATCTTTCAATATGGGGATTTAGTTCCACCATATGACCAGATCGTGTTGAGCCCATCACTATGCCACTGTATCCTGATATCAGTGGATTCTACACTAATTTCATCATGGAATATTGACATGCTAACTGCAATACTTACTTCTTAAACTTCTTCCAGAGACTATACTCAAATGTGTGCTGTCCTGTGTAGAATTATATAAAATGATCTGCCATTGACCTATTATTGTGAGATTGCATTGTGACTCATATAATTGTTCAATAGTATATTAAGTCATTGTTATCAGTCAAGTGTTCATGCTGATTAAAAGCTTTAAAAATAATGTTGTATCTACCTGAATGAGGAAAGCTAAACCACCTGCCATTATTGTAAGTATTTACATTTTATCGTCAACCAAACCCAATGCACAAGCTAAGCATATTGTCACTAACATCAATGAACACTATGGTAGGCACAATTTGCATTTAGCTTAATACATTTAAACAACATTACATAGATAACTGAATTTGTCCTTAGAAAATCTACCATGACTTGAGACAAATATTACAAATTTCTCTTTGAGACAAAAAATCTGCTTGCTCAGTTGCAAGAACCTATTAACAGTATTGCCATAGGTATTCATTTTTTAGGTTCTTTCCAAGCAAATTTTAGAGGTATACATCAGTGAATGTGATTAGTCTGCTTATTTCAATATGGAGCATTTTCAGATCCTAAATATCAATAATTTATAGCAGAGGTGGGACTACTGCTGACTACCATTCAGGGATTCCATCAGGTTACCCATGTACTTAGGACCACCCAATGGGTATTGCTTAACAGCGGCCTGGTTGGGAGCAGTGGCCTTTTAACAGCGCAAGTGGACCCCTGTAGTATCAGCGATGCCTGAAAGAAGAGAGAGCAGGTCACGTCCTCCCTCATACAGAGGGTGCCATGCGGGAGGGAGAGGAAGTGGAACAGGTGAGGGCAGGAGCAAGGAGAGCGCCATCTCCAGTCTCACATTCCCATCAGCCAGCACCAGAAGGACCCCAAGGAAGCCACCCCCTGCCCATAGAAGGATGTCAAATATAAAATTATGACATATATATGTGAATATATCTACGTGTGTGTCAGTTTGTGTGTATCTGTGTGTCAGTGTGTGCATGTATGTGTCAGTGTTTGTATCTGTGTTTAAAGGTATGTGCATGTGTCAGTGTGTGTATCTGTGTATCAAGGTGTGCGTATGTGTCAGTGTGTGTATCTGAGTCTGTGTATATGTCAGTGTGTGTATTTGTGTTTCAGGGTGTGTGTATATGTCAATGTGTGCATGTTTCAGTGTGGGAGTGAACCACTAGTTTGGGGCTATTGATATTAATTAAGATATTTAGTTAATTCCATTTATAGTGGCTCTGGAGATTATCCTCAAGCTAACAATCACAGCACATCAAATGACGATAATCATCTGAGCACTTAACCTATACAATAGTATATAGAAAATACCTTTTTTTTTCATTTTCCGTATAGAAGGCTTTACTGTTTTAAACACAGTAGTAAAAGTAGAAAAGATACTTGTGTGTATGTGTTTGAGCTGTGTAAGCACCTTAACCCATTGATGTGTACTGAAGTATCGCTGAAATATAAATATTCATAGGACACAAGTGTGGAGTAAAAACTATGAAAAATGGAGAATCACTAATAATGATGGAAGATTGTAAAGTGTGTAAACTGTTATACCAAAGACATAAAATTAAAAGCAATATGCTAGGCAAAAAAGAAGTCTGCAAAGTGATACAATTAAAACGAGACATTAATGGATCGAAAAACAGGTATGTGTAAACAAAGGATAGAAAATGTTTCATAGAATTCATAAAATAATGTAAGTGGGAGAGGGCAGCAAAGATTATATGGGCGATTTTGTAGATAAGCAGGTGACTGTAAGATTTTGGTGATGCTCCTCTCCAAATATTTGTTTACATTAAGTTAAGAAGCAATAAATATTTCTAGAGGAAATTATATATTTATGTATATAAATATACTGTATATTTTATATAAGGTATATTAACTGTACTGTATCATCATGTTGTGTATAACGCCATTATTTCATATCCTAATGAACCATTTCTCTTCTCTCTTATCTCCCCTCTTCACTCTTCATCTTGTTTGTCCAGTGCTGGTTGAAGTCTAATGTTTCACTTGTCCTGCGTGTAACTCTCCTGAAGCAACCAAGGCACCTCCCGATAATATAGCAGCATGGCTATCTCCTCACGCCTAGCACTATGGGAACAGAAGGAAAGTTTCTATTCTCTTGCATGACACCTGCATGTTAAATTAACAAAACACTCATCATTGTGTGTCCTCAGAGTCCGTTATATTGCCAAGGAGCAGTGGAACTAGTGCGATATACTAACAAGATCTAATTTTAAAAATAGCCAAAGAAAATTCTATAAATACTTTACAAACTAAAATGTTACACCCGAGACATCATGTATTTAAAAAGATTTCATATCAAAAACACACATATTAATGCCTACCCATTCATTAGAAGATATGTCTCTAGTTCATGACTGCTGTCTCAGAATTACTGCACAACAGCAAGGCAATACGATTTCTCAGCAACGGTTTAAAATAATGGTTGAAAAGTCTTACAGTCATATGGAATAATTTCTAAATTATTATTATTTTTTTTTAATCATGATTAAACAATACACTGATCAACTAAAGAGTGGAAACACCATTTTAAAGCAACACAGTCCCAGTTACTTCATCTGGAGAACCCAGAAATTAAGAGGAAAGAAGGGATGAAATAAAAAAGTAGTAATGGGTTTGAACCAATGTGTACACCAGAGAATGATTTAGTTGGCACATGAGAGAACAATGTGAATATTCAACAAAAAATGAGTATCTCACTAATTGATCATTACGTAAAAACAAAGCAATTAACCTGACTTTGCTTTCTGGTTATTACTAAACACCATTAACTGATGTACATCCATTTCCATTTTATAAGCCATTTCCTCCCCAGTACATTTATCTTCATCCACTTATTTCTCAGTTTAACTGTATTTCTCCCGTTTTATACGTATTTGTATCACTTTTAATAGCTTTTATTCAATCTTATTATCTATAAACATGCACAGGCATCAAGCTAATTCTAATGCCCATTAAAACTTGAATGGATTTTTTTTTTAATTCAAAACCAAATTAAATATAAATGGCAATGAATGACCTAGTCAAACAGTATTTAACTGTATCCTAACTATATCCTGTGGCCATTGTATTTAATGAATTCCACACTTTGTATTTCGTTTTCTGAAATCTCAGGGGGAGCATTTTCCCTGGTGCCCCCCTACCCCACCCCCACCATCCCAGTGCAATCCTCCGGTGGAAGTAATGTGGGCAATATCTCTTAGATTTTAAAATGGGATTTTCCATTATAACATGTGTTTTTGACCATAGTTGTTGAGTTGAAGAAATATAGTTGAAAGCTCTTTTTTTCCATCTGGTCTGTAAAAGTCTACATTTGAGAGTGAAGCTTAGTTCACTGCAATTCAGTGTTTAGTAAATAAAGTCCTAGAAATACTCCATATCTGATAATGTATCCACAGGACATAAGTATAAAAAGATAAATTAGGTCATTAAATAATATCTAAATGTACATTATTGTTATTAAAATTATTATTAAATGTATGACCCTACAACAGAAAATCTTCATTCCAATATCTTCCTAGTAAAGTACTGTCAATTATGTTGACATTAGTTGCTGCATAAATTGCTTAACATTAGACTACATTAATCACTGGAGTCCAAGCTTTCAAGACCGCAAAGGTCTCTATCTGGGCAATGGGCACCAACGTTACCACAGTTGTGTTGTGAGGAGGTAGAGCTGCACACTATTCTCTCCTCTTGGAGAATAGATTCTCCACATTTAGCCATCAGAATCATAACCTTCAGGTCAAACCCAGAAGTTCTCATGTTTAGTGAGATTTGAGAATTCTCTAGGTTTCATCTAGAGACCATATAGGAATGTGTAGATCCTAGTTATTATTTACAGGTCTGACTTCATGGAGGTCCTTCTGACTTTTGGGCATGCTCCTCAATTTTCATCTGCTGATTGTACCTTCTTGCTGGTGACCCTGCTTCTTTAATTCTCAGCAAAACAGACCTCCATGAGATAAACATGAAAAGATTCCACTCAATTCCCCTAATCAATAAAGACTCACTAGTGTCAATAAATAACATAGAATATTTGGTACAAAGTTAATGCTGACAAGTACAGATTCCGAGTCATGTAATATGCTTTATAGGCATTCAGAGACCTGTGATAAAAGAAAGAAAACATATTTGTCAACAGTGGTAACCAGCCCAATGTAACTCAGTAAGATGAAGTTCACATTAAGCCAGTTGCAAAACAAAAATCAAAACCCGATTTGGAATTATGACTGGATTGAATGTCCTTACAAATCGAACCTCATGCACAGTAAAATGGAAAAAACGCAAAATATTCATGGCTTCTTCCATTAATAGTTTCTGCAACTGTAAAGTACAAGACCTCTATCGCACAAATGAATACAGCAGAACTGATGGGTACAAGCCTTCATCGTATGTCATTGTTCTTGTCTGATATTTTAAATTTTGTATGTAAATAGATCAAGGAAGAAGATAAGGGACCAAAACCTTCTTCCCCTCCACCGCTCTTCTCTGTAATTCCTGGTGGGTTCATTAAACAGCTGGTTCGAGAAACAGAAAAAGAAGCAAAACAGAAAGAGAAAGAATCAAAGGAGAAGCCGCCTGTGAGTACAATACAGAAGCATTGACAGAAGCCATAACATTGTACAGAACCATTTAATTATTTATTAATGAAACATTCTCATTGATTTTCACAGACTTGATAGCTATAAAGCTGCTGTGTTACTTGGTTTTTCCTCACATTTTCCTTAGGGGAGACTTATACAAACAAGACTTAAAGAATTCCTCTGAACTCTATTAAGAAAAATGAATTCACTTTGAGGTTTAAAATAAATAAATACAAAATGCAAAGAAACTATAGAGCACATTTGTATTTGGCCCTGCTACGCTGACAACGTTTGCTTTCACTGATCTTGAAGTACTGATAAGTTTCATTTTTAATTACAATTAAAAATAAGGACACTTTGACTTACCCAAGATCCACTTGACTAATAAACTGCAAGTGGATAAAATGAAGAATGCATACCAATATATAATACACATATATAATTAATCTTGGTCTGCTAATGTAGAGAAATATTTAGCAAGAGAAAACCAATTGTTGTGCTGTGGAAAAGTGCTAAATATGGAACAATTACCACGGAAAGAAACATCATTTCTCAAGTATTATACACTTTGCCTCAGAAAAAGGTCTGTTTGCCTTGATAGATTTGATAGGAAAATATACCAAGACAAAACCAGTACTATTCTGGGGCAAAGTGCCAAATATGCTGAGATATACCTTTCTACGGTAATTGCTCTTTTGCAGTTTTTAATCATCAGAATAGCATATGATTTTTGCCTTGTTACATCTCCTACTTAGGAAATAATAGGTTCTATTCCAGGGCAAAGTAATAAACAAAGCTATTAAGCATGGAAACCAATAGAATCTCTCTCAACACTAGCAACATGGAAACCAATAGAATGTCTCTAAACACTAAGCGCTTTGCCCCAATTTAATTACCTACAGCTAGTTCATAGCTTTGTGATTTTATCAGAAATAGTGAATGAAAAATTCGGGGCTGTAATAAATAGTGTAACGTACACAGCAGTCTGAAATAATTATTTTCTCTATTGCAGCCCTGAAATATACATTTTTTGTAACTCTCTCTGAAAACGAGATATGTGGAAACCCAAATAACTGGCGTAGTTAAATTAAACCTTTAATAATTTTTTGTTATTACTGAAATTCAAATATTGTATGCATTACAGTCTCTATACATGCTGTTTGACATTCATACATCTAATTTCAGTGCATCTCCTGACTCACCCTCCCTCCACTTGAGTTGTCTTTTTTTTATTGAAAGCACTGCTTATCCAAACAAAAAACAAACAGGAGCTAGGGCACATTCACATATCCTGATGTCATGCACAAATGCTGGGCATTGCTTTAAGGTGATCTAAGGATTTCAAATTGTGCATGCTGTTCGGTCGGATAAGTTATGCTTCTGACTAATGCTGCCTTATAGAAGAACAGGCACGTCTCTAGTAATTATACCTTTGAATAAAACATTGAAAATCACCTCTAACTTGCATTAACCATTTGTGTTATCACATGACGCTCTGTCTTCTTATAAATTTATATTAAGTATTCAGCAAATGACATCACAAATTAATTAAATTCAGTCACAGTCAGGGTATACATTGCAAATAAGGAGGTGAAATTGACACATTGTTTAATTTCTCTTCTCTGTGTGATTTCAATATGTTGACTGCTACATGCATAGCTCAGAACTTATAACAATGGCTGGCAGAGAACCAATATGGAGGCACACATATGCAGGATAATCGAGTGTGGATTGATATATATGACGTTATTTTCCTGTATCACAAATACATATTTTTGCATATATGAGGTAAGTAGTTATAATATTAAAAATCTAGGGGAGTGAACGATCAGATTCTAAGGACGCCAGTCCAACATGTAGCAGCAAGCTAGACATCACACTGAACATTAATAACTGTTCTAGAATCTATACACTTGAATTATGAATTGTTGAATTGTTGTTATTTGTTGTTTGTTTACGGTGATTTATACTATGCTTAATTTATCTCTAGGTGAAACCAGATCCTCAGACAGAAGTATTAAAGGTACGTTTCAGAAACACAATGTGCATTCTCTGTAGTGTTCTGGTCATAAAGATTGTTACAGAGAGTCCATCATGTTGCATGGTTCTTGAGGAACACAGATATGTTTAATTATCTCTGTGAGTTAAAAGCAAAGTCCAAACACATCATTTAAAATAAAATATTTATTAAATTAAATAGTTTACCAGGAAGGATACATTGAGATTTCTCTAGTTTACAAGTATGTTATGAGTAAAAATAAAGCTGTTGATTATGTTAAGATGTTAGAACAAACTGAAGAAATGCATGTACAGGGCTATTTATTTAACTGAGAATTTGTATGTGTTGACCAAGGAATTACAAATTACAGCCAAATTATAGAAATAAAAGTCTTGGAGAGAGTTTCCAATAATGCTATTTTGGTCTACAATTTAAAATTCCCTTGTCAATTCCAGCATTTGCCTTTTTTTTTTTTTTTTTAACCAAATAACATTTAG